CGGTAAAGAAAGAAGTTGTTCGGACGTGTTAACCCCGATAGCCGCCATCATGCCAACAAGCATAGTGTTTTGATTGATAAGGCATTACATGGGCAAGTTGGAAGATACAGCCGCTAAAAGGGAAATGATCTTCCAAAATGAAAAGCCAACAGCAAACAGCTCGCCCAAGTCACCAACTGAACTAGTGGGCGTAACGCTTTCGGGGCGGAGTGCTTCGGAAGTCCTGCTCAGCAACCAGGCACCTTTCGTCGTGAAGCGCCACACTTCGCTTCCTTGGCAGCCAAGTAACTGCTTCGTGTGGTGCATTTATTCTCCTGAAGTGGCCTTACTTATCGAAATAGCCCTTCAAGGCACTCCTGGCGAGAAAACAGCTACCAAATTGAAAACGTTGAAAGGGGCGGTCAGCGATTTCTTTGACTCTCAGTCTGCTCAGTTCTGGGAGAAGGAGGTCGCTGACCTGCCCATTAGTGGGACACTGTAGTGAGTAACAATGGTGAACTGCATTGTTGAGCAAGTTCCAATGTATGCAGAACAAAAAAAAGCAGAGCAAAAAAGTTTAAACGGCTCAGAACTTCCTAATACTTAAAACCAACTTTATCGTGATCACTGCCTCTAAAGAACTCAAAGTCCTGTTAAAGTTGAGATATTTGAGCGTTGCGCGCTTTCTTGTCTTGTCACTGCAGGTATTTTAACAGCAAACACGGTACAATTTAAAAAAAAAACTGAGTCAAAATACCTTTGTCCTGTCAGCTGCGTTATCTTTATCTATTTTTCTTGACAGCGCGTTTCTTGACAGCGCGGGAACGAACTTCCGATCTTCATTCTCAATAACAATCGTAGATACCACCGGAATACTAGATAAACTTTTTCAGGCATTGAAAACTATTGTTTCTACTGTGAATGCTTAAAACAATCTGCCCACAAACCACCTGGTTCCAGACCCAGCATTTCAAAAATTACCTTTCACTTGTTAGCACTGGCATATCAACAGCATCACTGCGACCTGCACAAGTGGTGGAATTCTCTGGAGCCAGGGAGGGTATTTTGCGTCTAAATCCATTTCTTCAAGAAAAGAAGTCAATGGTTTATGCATCAGACAATTACCTGGCTTGCTTGGTTCTGGGCTGACCCTCTGCGTACAACTTAGATATCGATTCCATACGCTAAAATGAATTTTTGGCTGGTGTCAGAGTCCGCGATCCGTCGCAGATTTCGCTGATTTCAGCGATTTGCGCGAAACCTGCGATGGATCACAGGAGTTGGAAGTGCCCGATGAATACTGCGAGTTTAATCCTGCTGCGAATTCTGCTTGACAGTGAAGATTGAAAGACGACTGTTCGTGATTCTACTTGTTTCATGTTCAATGTCTATCAGTTCATTGAAATGCTCATGATTCGGATCGCAAAAATTGCAAGTGCCCCATTTGAACAATTGAAACACTGAATATGAAACAAGTGGAATCATGAGCAGTCGTCATTCAGCCATCACTATCAAGCAGAAGTGGCGGCGGATTGGAGAACACCTTGCAGTATTGATCGGGCACTTGTGATTTCCGTGACCCGTCGCGTGAATCGCGCAAATCGCGAAAATCGCGAAATCAGCGAAACCTGCGACGGATCGCGGACTCTGACACCAGCCTTGTGGCGAGAGATAAAACAATGTACTACCTTTCGAAGCATGTCGAATCGTTACAAAACGTGCCCCACGCTTATAAAAAAACGCCCCATTAACAATGACCCATCGACTCACATAGTAAGTGTCGTCTCCGTCGGCACATACCAAATGATAGTCGCATGGTTTTTGGGAATTCAAACAACACGCCTTTGCCATGCCATTTCCGCAAAGGTAGCTACGAAAAAGAGGACATGGTGAACCGTACTCGCCACTATCACATGAACAAAGTAAAGCGGTCGCCACACGTTGACGCTCTGAACAAGCTTATTTATTGCACTTAACAAAATTACGCACTCGTCGATTTTGGAACTTGCATAAACAACTGTATACGAATATCTTTAAATATCATGTAATTCTGAATATCTGTAGGGGAGGGGGAGGGAGAAAGTACGATAAATCTTTTCGCCCATGGCGCACATCACGAAACTTTTCGTCGCACAAGGTGCCGCCTTTAATGGAGGTTAAAATACCAAAATATGTATTCCTCCGATGCCCGCCCCTTCCTAATGAGCAAAAACAAGCCCTCCTTCACTGCTCCCATCGTCTTCAGAAAATGACGTCATCCGAAATCACCGTCAGATTCGAGTCTTTCTCAAGATTGGAGTGTGCTCTTTAGTGTTTAGTTGGAAGATTTCGGTTTGAAAAAGAAGTGCGATAACCTATCTTTGAATGTTTTTTTTATTGTCCCCCCCCCCTTCCCGTTCCCACCATATTGCCAGTCGCGATCAGTAATGTCGTGCATAACAAGGACATCCCAAAAGGTTCCGAAACACCATCACATGTCATAATTCCCTTGACTTTATTAACTCTAATTTTCGACTTTGGGTTAATCAGCAGTATGAAAATCCACTGTTTATCCAAATAGGAATGTTCACCTTCGTCAGGAATCACAAGTAAATCGTGAGTAGTTGGAAGAACATCGTAAGGGCTGACCCATGCACTCACTGAACCTAAAACCAAAAAAATGGTATCAGAATATTCCCCACTTTGACAGTTTTATTACTTTTGATCTATTATATTTTTCGGCTTCATAGCTCTTAACAAGATAAGCACATGAGTATTAGCCAGCATGACTGACACATTGCTTCTGCTCAGTCCACTTTGAAAAAGGCCAATTTTAAGGGGTTAGTGAGACCGGTTTTCGTCCAACTGAATATGAATCTTCTGCTACGAAGTTCTTAAAGGAAGCGATTACGATAAGGAATTTTCGCATCGGGGGAGAACCTGCGCCACACGGAGCAATTACTTGGCTGCCAAGGAAGCGATGTGTGGCGCTTCCACGGCGAAAGGTGCTGTGGTTGCTGAGCAGGACCAGGAACTTGGAGATCTATCGTAATCGCTGCTTTTAAAATAGTGAACTGAATACATAGGTCAGAATCGAGTGGGAAAGTATTAGGTTTACCGTGCCACTTCCTAGCCTTTAGATATAATCAAACGTTCAAGGGAAAGCAACACGTTTATCTCCTCGCTTCCTGGTGGCTCGATAGGTTTTCGGATTAGGGACAAGAGAATTTAGCAAAAAAGCAGCGCCGTATCTGAATCGTTGCCCTAATGCGGAACTGTCTACTAAACTGTGTTTCTACGTGCAGATATCGTGAAGTATCGTTTGATGCATACGGAGTAGAACGCTACGGGGTTGTAAACATATCAGGCTTGTCTAGGAGCTTCACGATACTGATGGACCAAAGTGATGTTGATTGTAGACGAAACCACACTATCTATCATAGTTCAGGAACCCTTATTGACACATTTTTTTTTAGTCTATGTGGATAAAAACCCTGAGCTGCAAATCGGCTATCCTCCTATCCTTCGACTTGTATTCCAATTTTACTCAATTCTGAACGAGCGTTTGGTGCTTAGAGCACTTCTTTTCAGCTCAGAAAACCGCATAAAAAGCTTGCCAAGACATTATTCACGTCTTGCTTGCGCCTCGATGTAATGTATCGGTGGTTTTGCTCTCGAGGACTTTCGTTTTTCCGTCTAGCTTGGCACACGATCGGACCATATGTAATGCACATGCGTATAGATGAAACCGATTTTCCATGCACAGCGACTCTAGTGTACCTATCCTTTATATAAATCGAGAAACTTTGGAACCGGGTGTGGTGGCCGTGTCTTGAGAAGGTACAATATTGTACTTGGAATCGTGAACAACTTACTTTCGGACGGCCAAGGGACCTTGCTTTTGGAAAAATGGACTCGGTAAGGAAAATGTGGACTATTCTCCCAATCGGTAGCACCGATATATCCATACAAATACGGAAGCACATTTCCTCGCCCAGGTACGGTATCCAAATTGCGCAGCTGAAACATGCATGGTTCGTTTTGCAACTAGCATTTGTTAAAGAAGAAAGAATGGCTAAACTACAAAATTGGAACATAATTTGACAATATCGTGAGATGCTCGAAATTTTTGACCAAACGAAAGGTTCAAGCGGCTTGCATGGATGAAATACATAGGGAAAATGTAGTTCGGGAGGATGGGGGCACATAATATTTAATCGAACTGACAACATCTAATCAAAGTGGAGCTGCGGTAAGTGGGTTATAGCAAATTTTCATGAAGACCTGGATCTTGAACAGGGAGGTCTTTCAGGAAATGGTGAGCTTTTCTCAAAACGGTTTTTTGCATGAATAGGAGTACATGCATGGAACACCAAACTGTAGTTCATTTTTTCCTGAGCGACCCTCTGAACACCAGAAAAGGGGGTCCCTAGTTCGATTCCTCGTAGTGACAAATTTTTGCATTTCGAGTTAACGTCTGAAAATTCGCGCAAAATCGGTCCTAATCATGAATATGGTACTAATTATTCATGCCGACTCCATTTTGCGCGAATTTTGAAACGTCAACTCGAAATGCAAAAATTTGTCACCACGAGGAATCGAACTAGGGACCCCCTTTTCTGGTGTTCAGAGGGTCGCTCAGGAAAAATGAACTACAGTTTGGTGTTCCATGCATGTACTCCTATTCATGCAAAAAACCGTTTTGAAAAGCTCACCATTTCCTGAAAGACCTTCCTCGTTCGTCTCTTATTCGGTTAGTGTTACGATAATTCATACAATTTCGGATACCTGAGCCAGACACGTCAGAGGCTCGTATGGCAGCCGTTTAGAAAGGTTTGGTGAAAGTGAAGAGCCAGCGAGGTAGTAGCCATTTTCAGCCATAGAATAATATGACAAGGGTAAGCGTATATACTAGTCGTAGGCCGGTCCCAGTGAAAGATATGATAAGATATAAGTGCCTTTCCGCAACTCTACTTTGATTAGATATGAGTGTCTTTCCGCAGCTTCACTTCGATTAGATAGGGTGTCCCCCCCGAACTACATTTTCACGAAAGCATACATATTTCAGTGCTTTGAAATGGGATGCAAGAACAGCAAAGAAAGCAATTGTCTCAACCTTATATTTCTCGCCAATGGCTTCCTTCACCCAGTTAGAGAGAACCCCCAAAATTGCGTTGAGAAGATGTCCTCAATAAAAAAAAAAAAAACAAAACAAAAAAAAAAATGAAATACAAAACTTACATAAACTTTATCACCAGCGTTATAACGTGGTGGAGCTGATGCAAACCGATCCTCGCTTTCGGCCTGTTCTTCATCCTGTTCGTCCAGCTCAACATCAATATGCTCATCCTCGGTTTGTCAACAGAAAGATCTTCCCCTTGTAACCACGGAGGAACTTTGTGGCCAGAGAGATTGTAGGGTTTTCGATTGAACATACGCTATAACGACGAAGTGATACAAATCATAATCTAGAAAATAGCACGAGGTCAGCTTATTCACCTGACGTTGAGACTTCTTTCCTGACTGATTCAGTATCATTGTGGTGAACTGAACCATCTCGACCCATCTGTGTTTACTTTGAAGTTCAAACGCCGCATGGTCATAAAGTGTTTCCAAGAAAGCGTTGTAATCAGGTGTCTTAATAAAGAATGTCAAACTAGAAAGCAAGGTTTCCAAAGATTTTCCTATAACTCCATTCGTACAGCAAACCGTTAACACTCACATCATACAGAATTTCCTTCATACTGACCCGGAATATACCTTAAGAGCATTGATCACGTCACGTATTAAAGTCACGGAATGACTGCAGCTGAAGCCTTCTGCAATAGTGTTGAAATCCGGTAATATTCGTATAATATTGTAGGAAGAATTTGAATTGAGCCATTACTTGAAAAAAGGATAAAGGATAAAGGATAAAGCATTTGCCGTTGATCAATCCTTTTTGGGATGCGGCACGCATTCTACTTCCATTTGTACATTCGTAGTGGCGTTTGAATGCGATGTGGCCTATACAATGACTTGCGGGGCCAGCCGATGTACAAGTCAGTGTTTTTATCCTCCCAGACAAGTCTGGTACCAATTAACCGACCCCGGAGGGATGGAAGGCTTGGTTGGCCCGGGCGACTCACGACCCAGGATTTGATCCCCGGACCGCTCGCGTGGTAAGCGTGCCACTTGCCACTACACCACTTCCGCCCATGAAATATGGATCCAACGAAAAATTTCAGCAAAATATGATTCCATTGTTAAGGACCTTGAAACGTATGAAGAGGAAACGGTCGACTGTGCCGAAGCTGGTTCTGTATGAGTTTTGCGATACAGGAGCGGTTGCAGAACTTTCTAAGCTCTAGAACTCTACAACCCTTGAGTTTTTGTGATACTTCTTTGACACTTTTCCTATTATACGACTGTTTCAAAGAAAAATTCTCATGATAATACAGCTTCTGAAAGCAATGCTGTGCTTAGGTATCACAAAGCAAGCTCGCCTGGAACTCCGAACTGAAGAAATATATCGGTTAAGATTCGGATAAGTAGTTGTCGTGGTCCACTTTCAGGAATTGGCTTCGCGAATATAAATCCTGTCTTTATATCTGTCATAACCAAAATATGCGAATATATGGTATTTACATAGACACAGCTGTCAGCGCTAAGCAGATCAATCTGAAATTGAGGTAAGTAGAGCTTAACAAATGTTGTATAGTGGTTAAGAAATACAATCAACTCAATCGAGTACCTGCACATATTGCATTGGCCGGTCAGCCGGATGATCGGGTGCCTCAGGGAAAACTACATCAATTGGCCGATTGGGCTAAAAAAAAACAGAAATAATTTCGGGTTAGAGAAACAACCATGTCATTACATATCCCACTGGCATGCTTGTAGTGCCATATACAAACGAAATAATGCACAGCTACCACTTTTTCTTAAGAAAGCCAACACAAAAAAAACATGGACGGCTCTATAGTTGGGATAGATCATAAGGTTGTGGATACAATGCGTGATCGCACAAATGGCAAACACTTTTATTTTTAAGTTAGAACTTTCTGGTAGTACTAATTCGAGTTTTTGAGAAGGCTAAAAAGCTCTGAAAGCACTGTGCAAACAAACACAGCTATCGAATAAAACACGCCAGGTATAATTGGGTCAGCCTACAACATACGTTTCTGAAAGCCCTCGCGATTAGACCACTCGTGAAAATAAAACGCACCATTGAATCGCAGTCAAATTCCAATCCATCTTCGGTGGGATCACGGTACTCTCGAGCGTGCCCATAATGAAATAGCTGGTAGAAAGCGTCCACCTGTCTGCAATGGCAGAACTATCAAATTACTTCATGAAACAAAAACTTGGTGTGTTGCGTGTCCGTGTGTTTGTATGCCTGCATGCCTCTTCCTCCACCATGTGCCTCTAGGTGTGTTAAGAGGGCAAAACCACTGCTTACAACCCTATCTGCTATATAAACAGCCAGTGCACATGTGCTGTGGCAGCCGGAGGGCAGAAAAGGGAGGGAAACCAACCACGAACAAAGCTATGGTCTGAATCAGTACTGAATCTTCATTCTAACATGATCTCATTTGATAAGACTCTTAACAATATCGTGCATGAGTATCCCAAAAGATGTTGACCACACAAGTGGAAGTCAACAACCTGTAGAAGGCTTGAAGCGTACGCAAGAAAGGGGGCATGCGGCGCTAGCCAGGGGACAAAATTGGTTTTAAATAAACAAAAGGTCACTATAATGTCTAGGCGAAATTTGATCATCGAGAACAGTTCGACTATATTCTCAAAGCTATTGCCTGAAAGTAAACAAATAAAACAATAGGTTGACGTAGTTACCCAGTCTTTGAATCGATCCTGAAAGAGATGTGAGCAGGACACTGTGCTCCCTCCTTCATCATTCGAACATGAGGTAATTTGTGCCTAAACACGTAAAGTTCATAACATTCAGAAAGAAATGATAGAATTCGAGATCAGTTATAATAAAGGTCAATATGGATGCATATATGCGAGTTTCCATTGATTATTTTGTTTTCTAGCCTATTACAACTTGTCCACAATGATCAGCATAGTGCATCAAGTGCCAGCATAGATAAATTGCAAACCTTCGCGATTGCAGAATGATTTTGTGTTCGCTCTTTGAGCAATGCATGATTTGTCGCTTATTGTGCGGTTGCTTTGTATGCATCATGAATCGACAATTACACAAAATCTCCACCAAATGGCGAAAACGCTGAAGAGATTGGCATTAGCAATGAGATTTTATGCAGCAGTGATCACCCACACTTACTTCAAACTCGCCAATGTTGGCAAACGTTCGAAAATGCATTTCAATGGGCATCTTGTGGTCAATCTGAAACAAAGAGCTTAGCCTCCGAAATTTAGGATAAATCAGTAGCCGACTTACAACGAGATGTTTCCTCAAAACTGTCATGGATGCGTATATTTCTCGGCAGTGTAGAACAGGGCATATGTGATTGTTCTGAAAATGCAGTCAAACGTGAAGCAGTCCAGATACTTGAAGCAAGTGTGAGTGAGAACTATCGGATCTGGACAGTCAAGGTGATGCGTGATTAAGTGATTTAGGTAGTGCCCCACTACAAATTTACCCGACTAGAATATTTCAATTTTCTGTGGAGGATTTCATTACACTAGATTTCGTAAGTAACCAGAAGGTTACTTAAAAGTGTAGAAAAGAACGCGACTCTATTTGCACTAATCGTCCAAGGGGAGCAGCTCTTATGTATAAGAAGATGCCCCAACTGCAACACTCACTGCAATACAACGGTGAAACTGTTTCGGGGCGCTGTCAAACTTTGCGAATGAAGCGCCCTTGCTAGTAGCGAGTCCCTGATTTCCCCTAGAGCGAATCTCAAATTCGTTGGCGACCGCCGACCACGAATCGTTACTATCGACCACGCGGACCCGCTACTAGCGACTCGCTAACCTTGCAGTCTGACACCGCCATCTTCGGGGGAGATTGTCAAATACAGCGACACCACCTCCTCAACGTTGTTCACAACACCTTTGAAAGAGAACAGTGAAGTTCCCGGATCAGGATTAGAGCGGCACTTGTGTGGATGGACCGCTCTTTGTAAACGTGCATTCGGGTGACACCCGTTTCTTCTAAAGTAGTATACGGGGAATCTGAGACAACGCTCGCTAAATAGACGAAAGAACAAGAAGATGAGTGGCACGAATCTACGTGAACAAAGAGCAGGTTCATAAAGAACGCCTGGGTGCTGGTGAGCGTTTTAATAGACGATTTTAACGCGTAAAGTCACCAAGAGACGGCTCATCAACCGTCTCCATTCATGTCTATCTCGGAGCGGACTTACAAACTGGACATACGAACATCTGAAGCGACCCAGGACATGGCTAGCAGAAACGGTGGGAGCAGCTTCGACGCCTGTTGAAACATCCCTAAATCCTCGCTACTACCCTGGGTGTAGGATGCAGACTGGGCGATCGCATCATCGCGAAGCGACGAGTGACCAGCCAATTTTGTGGTGTTTGGGCCTTATATCCGTATGAAGCGCCGAGACACGCCAACGTATACGAACGGGAGAAAAATATCGCCAAGCGTGGGAAAGTGCCGAGAGTGGGCAGGCTAATCCGCCGGTAGTGCCCTTTACAGGTCTGTTTCTTACACCAGCTGAACTTTCGCGCGCTCTTTAATGAATGTGGACTACCTGCGAGCTTACACGTGGGCGAAAGGTGGCATTACGATCGAGGGCCAAACTCCACATATGCACTCAAGCAATTCCTTCGAGGTTCAATTGGCTCACTCTATATGAGTCAGACTCCGCAGCTCTGAGCTATGCACATTGTCCTGTTTCCGCAATTCTTAAGAGAACACGAGCCAACATGTTCGTGTTAACGATGGTGCGATCAATACGGATGCAGCAAAGAGGAACAGCGCCGCAAAAATGTTCACGAGCCCGGGGGAAAGGTGGGGGAGGAGAAGGATGGATTGTTGCCTAGAAAAGATCTGCACTGAGATGGAGATAACTCGTAAGCCACAACCGCGGATGGCCGATCGTGAGCCTAATTGTTCACACCTGTCGTTCGCACAGAAAAAGAAGACAAGCCATATAGGTGAGTTCTGCGAAGCTCAGCTGCTCAAGTACCCTTCTGTGTACTCCACCGCCATCATTTTAGCAATAAGATCTCAGAATTATGTCCTTAGAGCGAAAAGAACGAGCGTGAGTGTTGCGCAATACTCTACACTTTGGAATGCAGACATAACTCAATATTTCAACTGATTCCAAAGTTGAAGTGACTTTCGATGTAATATGACAACTCAATGACCTGCGCCTTCAGCATTTTTTTCCATTCAAAAATCCAGAGCAAGGCAAGCAGCGCCGTAAGGAAGGAAGAGTTGGTTGGCCTGGCGGGATCCGACTTGCTATGCAATCTCCAAGGCATGCGCGTAGCACGCGTACTGCACCTAGTCTTACGCTGACCATATTAGTCACAGCTGATTGCACTTGTCGGTTAAGAGCGTTTTTCTAAATAAGTGCAAAAATAAAAACTTACATTATATGACCCATGGACTTTGTAACGATGATGAGCATAATCCGCTTTGGATTCAAATTCGATCGTGTCACCAAGTTCCATGCAGATTCTACACAAAAATGTGCCGTTGACTGTTTCTATTGGTTGATAGAGCTGAAGAGTGATTGTTGCGGCGATTACAATTGACTACATCATCGAAATCCCTGTATCTTAAGACCAACCTGGAAAATAATGTTTTGATCATGCTGCGTATGAACCATGTTGTCGTATTGGTACACGTACTCTCGTCCTTCCGTTAGATCACCTACTTCTTCCACGGCCTCCGCAAGCAAATCGTCCGTGGCAATTACTTCAATCTGAAAAGATGAGCCATATCAATCCATTAGGCCGATGTCAGACTTTGCGAATTCAGCGATTCGCTACCGAATCCATCAATTCGCTAGCGAGTCGTGGTGTACAGGCGCTGCACCAGCGGATCGAACGATGTGAGGCGAGCGATTCGCTAGCGAATCGCTAGATCCGAGCGTTGCGCCAGCGAATCGAACGTTGCACCAGCGAATCGAACTTTGCGCCAGCGAGTCGAACGATGTACCAGCGACTCAATAGTGGCGGACCCAACGTTTAAAGAGCCCGCCACTTTCAAACAGCGTCCACTGTCACGTGACACTGTTTGAAGGTGGCGGGCTTCCTTTAAACGTTGGGTCCCGCCACTATTGAGTCGCTGGTACCTAGTTCGACTCGCTGGTACATCGTTCGACTCGCTGGCGCAAAGTTCGATTCGCTGGTGCAACGTTCGATTCGCTGGCGCAACGCTCGGATCAGCGATTCGCTAGCGAATCGCTCGATTTCGCAAAAGTCTGGCACCAGCTTTACTGAGGCTCTAACATCCCTATTACACGACTTCAATAATACGCATTTTACGCATTTTTCTCACTGCCACCTAACCTGTCAGGCTACAGGGACGTAATACTAACCATCTCATTGGACATCTCTCCGTAGTCGGCTCTGAGTCGTTTTGGTTCCATGCTGGGTACATGTTACTCTGGAAGACAATTAGGTCTAGATATTTCATACTGAATGAATCAGTGGCTCCCCGCAACAATTCATAATCGTATTAATCCTTGATTTCACTTTCTATTCGAAGAGACTCCACCATTTACGATTCATTTCGCCTACTATTACGTTCACATAATGGCTGCCAGAGCCGTTGCGAGGCGCCGATGGCCGATGTCATAGTTTGCGAATCGAGCGATTCGCTAGCGAATCGCTAGATCCGAGCGTTGCGCCAGCGAATCGAACGTTGCACCAGCGAATCGAACTTTGCGCCAGCGAGTCGAACGATGTACCAGCGAGTCGAACTAGGTACCAGCGACTCAATAGTGGCGGGACCCAACGTTTAAAGGAAGCCCGCCACTTTCAAACAGTGTCACGTGACAGTGGACGCTGTTTGAAAGTGGCGGGACTTGACAGTGGACACTGTTTGAAAGTGGCGGGCTTCCTTTAAACGTTGGGTCCCGCCACTATTGAGTCGCTGGTACCTAGTTCGACTCGCTGGTACATCGTTCGACTCGCTGGCGCAAAGTTCGATTCGCTGGTGCAACGCTCGGATCTAGCGATTCGCTAGCGAATCGAGTTGCGCAAACTATGACATCGGCCTTCGGTGCGAGGGCGTATCGCGACCATGCTGGTACTTGTACAGCGCAGTGAATAAATGTGGGCGGACAGCTATAACTGTCTTATCTGTATTTCAGGTACCAGTCAATGATACCAAAACCGTATGCAACCAACATAAACGTGCACACTGTCATAGCAAGGCTTCCGGCCACATCTTGAATGTCAGTGATAGGACATGTCACCATTTAAGCAATTCGATTTCTTCGGTATTCTCATCTTTCTCCAACCTGTCCATGCCTTCTTTGTTTGACTCCCAGTAGTAGATGGTTACGCGAACAACTCTCCAAACTAAGCGCAGTCGTACAAAATTTTTCACTGATACTGCACCCATGCTACAATCGCCTGAACTGTAATCTTCAAGATAAGACTCGAGTGATTTATCTGCCAACGAAAAAAGACTTCTCAGAGTGGATTTCAATTTGAAGCAAGATCACCAGCAGGAGTGAGTCGTAGAATCCTGTCAGTGGCTGGGATAGAGTAGCTCACGAGTATCACAGATGTGCCGCTGCCGTGTCTCAAAAGTGCGCGACAATGGCTTTAGGGTTTATTAATGATAAGTAACCTTGTTTCCCGCAGCGTAGGATGGGATCAGCGGCGGGAATCACTCAAGAGCAGGATAGGATACGGCCAATGGTAGCCTCATTACATTAGTGCGGTTGCGTTCAAAATACTCGTGTGGACATTTCCTTTCCATGACACCATTATCAGTCGCTATTACTCCATCAATTTGAGAGTAAGGTTGTTATGTGGTGACCAAATGAAAGCTTGAGGCTCTAGAAAACGAGAATTGATTCAAATGAAAACATAATCTTTCCGAAGAAAGGACAGTGAATTATGACAAGGAATTGCAGAACCCAAAACATGCTTCCACTCTCAGAAGTCGCAGACTCATCAATTTTACGCGGAACCTTCCAAGTGCGTAGCGGAAGTAATCAGTAAATGACAATTCAAAAATGGCAATGAACGACTGTCAAGTGTGCGGCGGAAGTAATCAGTAAATGACGGCCTAAAAAATAGCAATACCTGACTTCATAGTGGGACTGCAATGCAGTCGGTCACACAGTTGCGGGGACCTTCCGCCTCTAGTGAGACCCCGGCACTGAAGCTTCCAGAAGGGATCTTGGTTGTAAAGTGGAAGAATAAGAACGTTTCAGGTGCGCACTTTTGGAGCTCGCCTTACTACATTCTATTTGCCCAGATTTGGCGTAAGAAAATGCCTGCACACAAAAAAATGAAATGTCTCAAGCTAATGCCTATACTAGCTGCCCTATAATGGAAAAAATACAAAGTATACTTTCTGCTCGGCGACCGAGTCGTGCAACACAAAAGAAATTACTATGCAGTAAAGAAAATAACCTCTTCTTCACGATGTTGGCGAACCTGTTCGCGAGAGAGCATCAATCGGGAATCCTCTTCATTTTGACGGTTCTCTGCCGCAGGACGATCCAACATAAGATGTGATTCAGTTTCCTGGAACAGAGCAGACTAACGTTATTTCTAAATGATCAATGAACAAGGCGAGATCACTGATGAAAATAAGAGGGCTTTCAGCATTGTGTAATTGTCATTTTCTATGGATCTAATGAAGGTTATAAGGAAAAAAAAACTGGAATGCCTTTCCTAATGATGAGGCCCGGACTAGCGTAAGTCGACTGTTCAGACTTTGCGTAACCTATGGAGCGCCGCGATCGCGTGCGGATCAGCAGTGAGTGATTCACTGCCGCGGCGCGACGCAGCACGCTATAGCGAATCGCGCGATTCGCAAATCTCACATCGCCTCTAACCAGAAGGCCCACAGCAGAGGAGATTGAACACTACGTCAGGTGGCTGAATCGCTAACTAATCGCGCAACTAAAGGGATTTGGTGCTCTACGTGTGTTTCCGAGAAGTATGTGAGTATCCGCAGAGCAATGCCCTCGAGGAGCCGGTGAGTGTACAAGCTCCTTTAGAAAATTGGACACTAGCCAGCTCCATGGGTACCGGCTCTTACCCCACCGTCAAAGTTGAGTGACCTGTAGCGATTTCCCGCGAAGTCTGATCCATCCTATGACCATGTTGTGCTCAGCGTGTAAGAACTCGAAACTGGAAAATTTGCGAAGAAGAATGACTACGTATTGGGTTTCTCCTCATTCTCCAAGCAGGCTACAAAAGGATGAACTGATGCCTATCCATTCCTTTTCGCTCTTTCTCCGATTCTCCAAAAATGACGAGTTGAACTCGGTCTATGGCACAATTCGCATACCTTCTTAAGAGAAATGGAGAACTGGGATCACAGAACGCATGAAGGAATCAGACGCAAACGCCTTCAAAATCCCGTTACGTTCCAAGTAGAAACAGATCGTTGCGATCGATTTCGAATGGAAGCAGAAAGCGGGACGCATCCCACCGTAGATTGAGCAGCGCTGCTTTATCCTTCATCCTTTATGCATGAGTGACTCTATTATTAAACTGCACACCTAATAAGTAGGCAATGTACCTTACATGGATGCTGTGGAAAGAGTTGGTAACTTGATTCTTTTTGGTGTTTCACTAGCGTCGCAAAGAACAGCTAGCAGAGCAGCTAACTATAAGACCACTAAATGGTCGACAGAGAGCCGATAAAGCCAAACAGAGTCGTTCAAAAGAAAAACATCGGAGCACCACATCTTCAAAACCATTGCTGTCAAAACCATAGCAATAAAAATGTGAATTATAGGCGCCATGGAGGAGCTAGAACTCCATAAACCTAAAAACTGCGTTTTCCTCCCAATTGAATCCACGCACAGTAATACTACAAGTGCAGTCGAGTGCGGAGAGTTCGGACAAAGTAGCAATGATTTCCCATACGGCTTTCATCGTGCACAACATCGACAAACATGAAATGAAAGCAAGCAAATTTTTCACAAGCTGTTAAAAGGGCAGTGCCCTGTGCATTACAGACAAAACGTGATAAATGACGTCGAAATCAATGTTGTTAGCACCGATGTGCTGTCAATCGGTTTTTGACTCTTTTTATGAAAAGTTGCAAAAATTATTCTACAAAATTAGATTTTTGCAATGGGGTTTGCATCCTTGTGGTTACAGAAGCGTCGAGGCAAGAGAAGCACTGAGTCTCTCAAAGTTCTCGTCTGTTTTATGTGCTTCTACTTTGCGATTTCCCAGACAGTCAGCAGTTGCTGCTAGCTGGCTGCTCAACGGAGAAAATTACACCGTTGCGACCTGATTAAGTGTCTAGCGAGTGCAGTGCCCGTCGCTGATATGCGTTCTAGCTAGGTCGCCTTCAAAATGTTGAGGGGAATCTCTTTGTGAACAAATGAACATTCCTTTGATCGTGTTCGCAATAGTTCAACACAAGTTCCTTGAACCGAATTGATGAAGGAAATCCGGCTGCCCTCGAGCCGTTTCCGTGCACCGCTTGCGTTGTGGGCGTGGCGGGGAAGGCGCTCGCTGCGCACAGAATTCAGTCTCGCTGCTTGTGCTCGCTGCGCTTATTGACTTTATTCTCGAAGCAGTGTTACTCGCTTTTAATGCCCTTCACACGAACCTTTTATTTGCATCCGTCGCGGGCACTTCTTCTCCAAAAACAGCTACTTTATTTCAGATGGAAGGCCCTTTATCGAAATGGACCAATATGGTTCATGGCTGGCAGTATCGGTGGTTTCGTCTTGAAGAAGATGCATTGCTATACTACACATCCAGAGAAAAAATGCTTAAAGGCCAACAACGAGGTAAGCGCAGTTCCGTGACCAATGTTTACTTGTTGATTGACCTGCGTTCCTTCTTATATCGCTTTCACTTTATTATGGCTGCTCTAATTTCTTTTCCTTTGTATCATTTGGCGCAATGTGGCTCGGGGGGGGGGGCACTCTGAGAAAAGTCATCTAGGACTAAGCCTAAACAGCAGGGACGAACTCCGGAGAATACGAAAATTGCTTCCGTACACCGGAGTTCCTCTCCTCTTCAAAAGCTTAGTCCTAAAACGGAGCGTTTCCGTGTTGATGCGGCGGTGCCCCCCCCGAGCCACATTGCGCCTATCATTTCATAGACTATCGGTACCCTGTGTTTGTCGTAATACATTAGTTAGAAAAATATCAAGTGTTTGGTTGTGGAGATAGAGGAGATGATCGTTTGTAGCGGTAATGAAAGCGAAAGCTCATTAACCAATTACGGTAAATGGGCGATAATCGCGGTCTGAGCTCGATGACTAATCTGCTTATTCGACAACTGCTTCACGATTCTAATGGGTTAAAGTGATCAATGAAAAGTTTGTGCAGGGAATATTTTCTCCAGTGCTCCCGTAACCCTTCTTATTGAAGGCTAATTTCTTTACCCAACAGCGGTGGAGTCCTCTTGCGCTGTGTATGCGACATGTCTTACCCAGATGCTGATTTTCTAGTGCAAAGCACCACCTTGTGGAATAATAGCTAGTGTACTCAGTGATTATTATTATCAACGATTTTATTTTTTCTATATAGTAGTTTATCGCAGTCAGAACACCTCATTAAGTTGACACAGCGAGATCAAATATATCAATCTAGTTTTTTTTGGCGGTCAGGTTTTCCTGATCCTTTCTGTGTCACATTCCGGGAGGTTTTTTTCTGCTAGTATACTCCTAGACCAACAGCAGGGAGACCAAGGAACTGACTTACATAGTGATTTTATCGCATGATTGTTTTCTTTTTGACAATTGCCAGAATTTCCTCCCTTTCATGAGTACACTCCGTTAGTACACCCCGAATACTTGCCTATCTCTCCTGTGCTAACTCAGTTGCCTATTTATCGAGTAGATAAAAGAAGGAATTGTTCTATAGTAAACGAGGTGATCACGATGGTGACCGTATTCTTTTGATACTCAACTGTGTATGGTCATTAATATGACCTCTAGTTCTGTTAGCGGTCGGTTTCCGACATCTTTTTGGTTGAGACGTCAACATTCTGTGGAATTGCAGGTGAACTGATTAGGTGTTTTAGTAGTAGAAAAAGTAGTCGCACTGGTAGCCGCATAGTAAATATTTGATACCACAACAGCGATGGGTTTGCTATTTTTGGCTGCGCTCAATTGTCCTGTCGCTTTCCTTATCACACCCTTTCATCAAAAAGTGGTATGAAAAGGGAATCGCTTGCCACACACGGTGTACTGTATATGTTTTGCAGCACATGCAGTTTTTTTTCAAGACATTTCATAATTCATAGACACTGTGAAACACGTCCGTTCTTGCTCTCTAGCATTAGAACGAACAATTCGGTAGCTTCGGTGTTATGGTGTCACACAAATTGCTAACTGCATTTCGCATATATTACGGTAATGTAAATCTTTCGCACCAACATCATGCATATCGACAAACTGATAAACTAACACACTCAAAAGCAAAGTATTTATTCAACACTTTCGCCAGCTTCAAGAGCGAAATGCCATCAGATAATGGAAATGGTGCCTAACCCGTACCCAATTTTCAAATTGTTTTCGCATTTTGCTTTTTCTGTACAAGGCTGTGAGGTCAGTCAGTCATTTCTGGGATTTTTGCCGCTGTATTTCGATGATTGAATAGCTTAATGCTTTCTATTCACGCTCATCTTCGTTTTACTTTTCTAACAAGGGGAAACAATTCCTTCGAACAATGTGGCGGGGTTATTGTATACTTTGGGATTAGTTATTATCGCTTGTTGAATTGAATGTTTTAGGTTGCTAATGCGACTTCATGGTGCTGTTGTAGGCATTGATGGCGAAAATAACAGCCTTTTCACAATCACTGTCGATGGAAAGGTTTTCCATTTGCAGGTAAGAATTTCTGGAAGGTAGCAGCGAAAAAGGGTTTGATGTGCAACTTGGCGTCTACGTACCACCAGTCTTTTTTTCATTTTTTTTCTTGGAGCGCCTATGACGCTTTACATTTTCTGTATCAGAACTGCCTAATTTTCATTGTTCTCCAAACATTTCTTACCGAAGCGGAGCCCTGGTTTAGCCGAGCTTAAGTGTCGTGTTTACTAAATATGTTGGAAAGATTACTACAATTTTACAGAATACTCGGGGGTATCTTATGTTGACACGACGTTTGATTTTTCTTAGCCAACTACTCAACCAGGGGAGCACGTCTTATCTTGAACAAGTTTATTGTATTTCTTCATCCCGCTTTCAAATGCAGTGGCTTTAGGTATGATTTGATTCGGAAAATTAGTTATTCTGATTCTGGATAGTATTCTGGTCTTTTGGGAAGGAATCCGGTCTTATGGTTTCGATGTTCTACATTCGAGAGTTCGTGATATCGCTTTCTTGATTAAACGATGATGAAATTTTTCGGGTGGCAAGCTAAAATAGGATTTGAGCGTGATTATTCCAGGACTCCTGTCATTGGGCGGGGCAGCATTTTTCTGGGGAAAGTCGTAGATCCACTTGCTCTATAGAATTGCAGAGCAAGGGGTATAAGGGGCAAGGAACTCCTCCCGTTTTAACGTGTTTCAAAGTCTCCTTCGGCTTTATCGGTCCGCGAGTGGGTATTTTGCTCTCTCTCTCCTGAAAAGCGGAGTCTGCGATTAAAAGCAGCTCGTTAGGAATCCAAGTAGTAGTGGCCAGTGATTGGGCGTAGTGGTAAAGAATAAAGCCGCGAAAAACGGTGGGAAACGGGGCAATGGGTCGTTAGGTGTTTTGTTGAGGTTTTCATCGGTGTTAACCTCATCAACGCTTACACTCTCTCTTCTAGAGCGGCTACAGACAGACGGCGAGCAGTCGGTCGATCGGTGGGGGTACGGCCTTGCTAGGCCGCTGGGAGCATTTCTTCCGCTTCGAAGTGCGCATCATTTTGCAAATTTTGGGGGGTGCCTGCCTTTTCTTTAGGTATTTTCCCCTTCTTCAACCTTCGACTTCATCGTGGAATCCCTCTTTGTGGGCGATGAGAGTCTGCGCTTGAGCGAATACATGGCCCATCGATACATTGCGAAGAAGGATGAGTCTTCTCATTTAGGAAATGTATGATATTGTTTATTCCCTAGACCTTCATCCCTCAAGGTAAGAACATGACTCTTCCCGCACGTATCGGTCGACTGTAGTCGCATTTCCTCTCTAGTCGTTTGCTCACCTTCTGACGTCGACCAAGCAGACTATTGTCAAACTTTCCAAGCGCTCTGAGCGAAAAACACGAATTCAGGTCTTTTGATCAATTCCTTTTTTGGTATTCTACATATTCGACTATATCCCACATGAATCAAGCGCCCTTTGAATTTGATTTGATTCGGCATACACAATAACTTGTGGGAGCAGATGTATAATCCCTCGGCGCGGGAATGTTACCAATGAAGCGACCTTGGCGTGAGGTGAGGTGCAAGCTTGCTGTTTGCGGTTCGAATAGGGTTCTTTCCACAGACCACAATGCAGCAGCAATACCATGTGACGCTCTCCAAATTTGTCCTTCGGCACTCCCTCTTGAAAAAGCCTCTAGTACTCAGAGGATTCCTGAAGAGTTGTACGTAAGAACTGTTCGCATTTTGAATGCTCTGCTGTTCCAACAATAACTCTAAGGCTGATGTCAGAGCCCGCGAATCCGTCGCAGGTTTCGCTGATTTTATTTTCGCGATTTGCGCGATTTTTAGCGATTTGCGCGAAAACCTGCGACGGATCGCAAACATTGCAAGTGCCCCATTTGAACATTTGAACTGAATATGAAAGAAGTGGAATCATGAGCAGTCGTCATTCACTATCAAGCAGAAGTGGCGGCTAGAACACTTTGCCGTATTGATCGGACTCTTGTGATTTCCGTGACCCGCCGCGTCAATCGCGCAAATCGCGAAAATCGACAAAATCAGCGAAACCTGCGACGGATCGCGGACTCTGACATCAGCCTAAGCACGCTGCATACATGTCACTACTAGCTATTACTTTTATTTTCTTGATACTGCTGGCGGGAATCTTTTCCTCTGAACGTACTTTCTGAAGCACTGATGGACCAAAGATGCATTTGAATGAAAAGATGCTGCCTTGACTGACATATCCATAAGATATTTTCCTCTCGATTTTATGTGTCAAACGTTTGCGTAATTATTGTCAACAGAATTGCAACCGGCAACAGACAATATTAACGATTGTTTTAGAGTGCACCACTATCTCACGATTAGTTCTATTATGCTGACGTTCTCAATGCATGTGCTTGAATTCGTGCTGGTATCGGCTCATTTTGAACTTCGCAGTGCTGTTAGTTTTATTTTCTTTGTCTTTCACATTTCCATAGAAACGACGCATGAACTCTTAATCCACTGTTGAAAAAAGTTTTTGAAATGCGTTTCGCTTGCAGTATATGGAGCTAATTTCATATGAATCGATGAATGCTTGCATAGTACATGCATGCAAAGATTATTAGCTCTCGGTAAGTTTTTTTTTTCGATAGCTTCTGAAAGGCTGTCGTGACACTTCATAGTTTCCTACTATACGCCAAATGCTAGTTAGAAGCATTAATAGCAGCGTACTCCTTGCGCAACTTCGTTTCTCTCTGTAATCTAATGAATTAGGAATGTTAACTTGTCACTGTAGCAACTGCTCCCTGAGTGTTCCTTCCTAGTCTTCAAGATGATTCTTTCTGCGATTGATAGAGTTTTAATTCTTTCTGCTACTACTTGCAGTCCATGGTTTATTCACTTATTGACATGTAACATTGGATGGATGGAAGCATCATTGCAGCGGTCTTTACATGTCTTCTGCACCTTCTGCTTTTTATACAAGTCGATTTTCCCCTTATCCATCCTTCATCACAAAACGCTCTATGGGCATTAGCTGTGTTTGGCCTTCTTCGAGTAAAGCTGGGTCATCCCTTCTTCAATAAATTTTTATTTTTTGTTTTCTTTTTTGTTCTCTTTTTTCAATATTAATCACAATGTCAGCTAATTCTGTAAGTAACCGATGTTTATCATGAGCCCGAGGTTCATTTATGAGAGGTGGCATTGCGTTATAAAGTTCTTATCCGTTTCTGACGATGTGCGCAATAGAGCGAAACATGAAATTTTGAAGTGAGCGTAGGCTTCATCTCGGATGGATAGAACCCTAGAAATGAATGAAATCCGGAATCCCTTGGTTCGGCGAGTGAGAAGTGATTGTAACATGTGGCAAAGTAGCCAGATCAAGTTCAGTACTTGCGCCACAGGTATCTCCATGTTCTAACGCATTCTCGATTGTCCATTGAAGGACAAATTGTTCCAAATCCTAATAAAGAAGCGTATTCAAAGCTGCTCATTTGGTACCAGGCTACAGCTGAAGTTTGATGAGTTTTAACTTTTCTTAGTAATGATTGCAAATTTACCTGTCATATTCTGCGTGCTATTCAAATGCTTATGGGAAGCATTTGAATATTCGTGTTAATCTGCAGTGTGATATTGTGTTGTATATACTAAGTCATGGGCGTAAGGCTAAGTCACTTTATAGAGGAAGGCTAAGTCACTTTATAGAGGGACTTTGACGTGAGTTGGATCAGCGTAAAAGCATTTGTGGATAAGGCTGTCATTTGCGAGGCGGAGATCATTCTATGGATCCACTCCTCTGACTGCTTGTATCACTCAGAGAAAGTATTTAAGCTATGAAAATCTATCCGTTTTGTTGTCTTGTTATGACCTTTGCCGATTTCTTTTTACTACATGTAATTTTGCATGTTACTTTTTTGACTTAACGAACTCAGCAGCGTCACAACAACGATCACTTCTTGTTGAAGCGGGGTTAATTGCTAATGCTGACTATGTTCTACAATTTCAATCGCCATGTTCCATATCGCCTAAAAACCGTGTTCTGTTCGCGATAAAATGCTGCGTCAAGTGGCCAGAAAAGTTTCAGTAAAAATATCTCGAAGTTTTAAGCGAAAAGTGCCGCAAAGGTAGACAAGCTGATTGACTTGTGTGTTCGACTTCCTATTTCTAAAGTTGAATAAAATCACTCAAATACCTCCAACTTCTACTTTTTAGTAAAGCTCCTTAACTACACGCGCATGCCAATGTAACAGGTGTGTGTGCGAGCAGGTCATTTTTTTCAGGGGCCCTCACATCTCGGCGGTGTACCATTGCCTCTGCTAAAATATGAATAAATTGCTTTTTTTTCTCTGACAGCCTATAGATTCTTTCGACAATGTTACATACGAGATGAAAACTATCTCTAGAATTCCTTCATCTCCTTTTCCCTAAGATGTGAGACATTTCTTGAAGCTATTTCTTGAAGATAAGGTGAAGATGTCAACAACACCGTAAGAATTAAGAAATCCACCATATTTCTCAGGAATCTTTGCCATGAAATCTTTCTAAGTTTGTTCTAAAAACGATGTCGACATTCGGACCTATTTAGGGGACGTGTTTCGGAGAGTACAAAAACTCAGGAACATCAAATTTGAAGGTTCCTTAGGAGTTTGGCCGGTCCCTTTCCTGAAATCTACACTCTAATGAAATCGATTACCATCAAATATTTTCCCTTTCTTTTGTAAAACAATCCCTCTGTAGGTACTGAAATGTCTCCGAAAATCCTTTTACTAATCCTATAATTGCGAAGTAGTCTCGGTATGAATTCCCCTACACAATTTGGTTTCGCGTGATTCTTCGACTTCCTGTTTCCAAATGCTTGTGTTCTTCACTTCAAAAGGTGCAGGTGTTTGTCTTCACACATCTCCATTTCTCAGCAACCAGTAGATTTTTGATTCACCACCCTCTGAAAAAATTTTCGTATTCATAGTGGTTCCTATTCACAAATGAGAACCTGACTATTTTGGGACTTATCCTGTAATTATTGCCTAATGACCACCGCTCCTGCTACCCCCATTCTTC